GAGAGAGAGAGAGGGGGGGTTATAACAACGACAACAACAACAACAACAACAACAACAACAACATAAGCAATAACAACACGAATGTGAGAGGCACAATCCCTGTTACCAGAATCAACTTCCGTCACCCAGGGTAGGATAAGCAACAGCAGCAGCATTAGGAACAATAACATCAACAAAAACAACAACAACAACAACAACATCAACAAAAACAACCACAATGACAAGGACGACAACATGTCCCTGTAATCCCTGTATTCCTCACTCACCTCCGCCACCCCGGATAGGGTAAAGTCACGTCCCTGTATCTGTTGATGAGTTTCTCTGTCGCTGGGTGATACTTTGCCACGTACTTGGAAGATATATTTAGCTGTGGTAGAATGGGACCGTTGCTCGTTTGTAGTTGTTATTGTTGTTGCTGCTGCTGCTGCTATTGTTGTTGTTGTTTTTGTTGTTGTTGTTGTTTTTGTTGTTGTTGTTGTTTTTGTTGTTGTTGTTGCTGTTGTTGTTGTTATGTTATTGTCTTCGTCGTCCTCATCGTCATCGTCGCTGTAGTTCTTTTTGTTGTTGTTGTTGTCGTTATTGTTGTTGTCGTTATTGGTGTTGTAGTTATTGGTGTTGTTGTTACTGTCGCTATTGTCGCTGTTGCCGATGTTATTGTTGTCACTGTTGCCGCTGTGATTGTTTTTTGTTGTTGCTTTTGTTGTTGTTGCTGTTATTGTTATTGATGTTGTTGTTGTTGGTGGTGGTGGTGGTGGTGGTGGTGGTGGTGGTGGTGGTAGTGGTAGCGGTAGTGGTAGTGGTGGTGTAAAATTAGGAGGACCTATCTCTTGAATAATATATCTGAGTTCATCTGGGCGTTGCAACAGTAGCATGTCGGCGTTTCCCGGACACACCTGTCATTTCCAAGATAGATAAATGGCAATGACCTTACTCACATACTGTGTGCAACTGTCAGTTTTTATACTGTCCGTCAGAGGTGATTAACGTACTTAAATACTGCTTGTACAAGGTGTCTTTAAAAAGAGGACCCACTTAACCCTATCCGTACGTAGTGTTTTACTATCGTATCCATACGACGCGGGGAACTCTGTGCCATCACTTTCCAAAGAGGAAATTTACTTGTTAGTGCGATCCGTACGCTTTGCATAAGTCTGTCAAAATGATTTTCTTTTAGAAATACTGAACATTTCAATGAGATCTTTGGCCTAGAAGTATTCTAAAATGTGAAGAATACAACCCCGGGGGTACAAAATGAACTCTGGGCGTACGGATAGGGTTAAAAGGCAATAACTCAGCCATCTCTGCGCTGATTTCACCAAAACTTCGAACAAATAAGATGCAACCAATGGGGTGTTCGGGGCAGAGGGGGCTTTAAATTTGTAAATATGAAGAAAACCACTCTACGTTTTAAAGAAATGTCAAGTTTTCAAAACTTCGATCAAAGTTTGATAAAGCATAAAGCTTTACTTCGTAAACGCATTCAGCTACAGGGACGCGACCACCCTGTTCTGATTTCAGTCCAGGAGAAGAACTTTTTTCTTTCTTTTTTTTTTCAGCCAGTGGTTAATGGCGCTCGCAACTGCATACCGTCATATGAGCGCACGGAACACATTTAAATATTTTTCAGTTGGTAGAAAACTTTGATTTTTTACCGGGTTACCGCCGAAGCCTATTGTTATCGATTTTGGACCACCAAGAGATGTTTAACTTGGGCGACTTGCACACGGGACCTCCGAGATTTTTCGCCCTCATCCGAGAAAGCTATGCGTAGATCTTTCCTACCAAAAAATCAGGGATAGGACTTTTTTTTTACTTCTTTCTTCCGCTTGTACCGGTGGGTGTCGCAGGGAGACACAGGCGTCTGTCTGCAGCAAGGCGAGTAGCCTGTAGGAGGGACATCCCGTGAGCTCTGAGGGTGTCGGCCATAGATTCACTCCATCGTCGCCTTGCTAATACTGATCTTCATGTCATATTTCTCGCAGCTCGCATTTAGTTGGCTCCTATGCTCCTGTAGCTGGGTCTTGTTTTTCATCATTGCCAGGTCGTCTGCAAACATGAGTTTGTTGAGTGCCTCTGGGTCTGAATTGGCCTCCTTAAGGATAGGACAAGAACGGTAAAACCAAGACAGGCACATCAGATGGCTTTCCTACTGTGCTGAAAACCTTTAGGAGAAGTTTGGGGAGGAGAATGTGTTATGATGTAGAGAGGGCCTGGTTCCAGTGAGATGAGGTCACACCCCACACATGAAAAGTGGCCCTTGCTTGGTTGCAAGAATGGTTAGAGAACGAGGTATTAGCTGAAAGCTTTTACGGGGTGCCCACTACGGCTGGATCGGGCCCATCGCCTTACTCGATCGCTTGAAATTGAAAACAAACACGTTTGTATTTTAGGCGATCGAGTCAGGCGATCGGCCCGATCGGCCGATCCCAGCCGTAGTGGGCACCCCGAATTACACTTGGATGGAAGAGTATTCCTCCGACTTGAACCCCTTCAAATATTTCCTTTGGGTTTTTTGACAGGCAGAGTCTTCGGAAACAACCCCCAAACAATCTAACAGTTGATAGTTAATGTTGAACAGCAGACCCAAAGAATCAACCCAGAAAGATGCCTCGGGTTTATTCATAAATTCCTGTGGCGTATTGGAGCTTGTATATAGAAATATGGTGAACACTTGACCATGGAGCATCATAATCATCCAGTGCCACATCTGCGACAGTCATCGACGATCATGGTTCTCCATTCATTCCTTTGCTCGGATACTCTCAAAAAAGCTACGTTTCCCTGATCTTTCCCTGTAACCCATTTGTTTAGGTTCCCTAAGTATGTTGTTCTGGGCCTACCCCTGCCTCGTTTGCCCTCAATTTTGCCAGTGAGAGCTAGATGTTTAAGACCTTTATGTCTATTCAGGTGTCCCAAAAACTGCATTTGCCGTTTCCTGATTGTTTTTAACATTGAACGTCCCACGTGAGCTTCATCAAGCACTACCTCATTTGATTTCTTTTCCTTCCACGATACTCTTAGCAGTCTCCTAAGAAACCACATTTCCATGGAGCATACAATTTATATAATGGCAATCTTCCCTGAATTTTTCTGGCATCATAGATTAGTGTTCTTTAATGGACAAAAAGTGTCATTTAAAATAGAACAACATGGCTGATTTCTAATAGGTTTCAAAGTTTTGCGTTAAACCCAATTTCGGTTTACATTTTTTAAATTTGATATTTTCCGAAGATCTGAGTTAATTTTCTTCATGTTGACAGTGACAATGTCCCCACTAATTGAATTCTATTTATTCAAAGCTTTGCTGAAATTAGTTAACAATAACCGAGTCATTGCCTTTAGATGGGTTTTCTTTTTTTAGACACCCGGGGACTGTCAGTAGCAATTACTGTTCTCACATACTATGTGTAACGTTGTGTCAGTGGCGATTACGATACTCACATACTGTATGTATCTGTCGGCCTCATGATGAGTAAAGGAATCTGTGCCAAAGCTGTACAGAATGAGGGAACCCCCGGGCTTTAGGATCCGATCTGCTTCCTCAAAAAATCTGAATATAGACGAAAACGCATAATTGCTTTACAATAAAAGAAAAACTGAAGAGTCTCTCTCACTCTCTCTCTCTCTCTCTCTCTCTCTCTCTCT